ATATATAAATAAAAATAAAATCATGTTTTCATAAATTCAGGTAGAATTCAATATAATCCTATTATATCTCCCATTTCATCAAAGCTTATCTGACGAAAGGGCTACAAAATAAGAAACACATACTTTTCCAAAGACAAGATGTCCAAAGAGCTTAGAAATGATCTGTCTCTAAAACAAGGCACCACTCTGCACTCACCGAATTTGTAAAAATTAACAAGTGTTAATACTAGTGTTGTTAAGACTGTGTTAAAAACCAGCATATGCCAACACAGCTCTGTGGAAAGCAGTGTGACGATGTCTGCGCAGGTTTTGATCAACAGACGACTGGCAAGAAAGACAGAGGCTTCGGAGTTGGTCAAAGTTAGGCTCAAATCCCACAACAGCTAAGTTAGGGTCTCGGTCTGGATCTCAGATCCGTTATTTATATTCTTTATTTGTAAGATGAGAATAATCATAGTATTTATATCACAGAGCTGATGTGTTTACTCACAGTCCTCTCATGTAAAGTGCTCAGCACATGGCTTACTCAATATGTACTCGGATGAAAATGTATTCAATTTCTATAGGTAGAGAATAGAAGGGAGCATACTTTTCAGGCTCATGGAAAAGCCTGAAGGATTTCCTACAGACATGAAAGTAAGCGATACATTTGGAAAATGTTTGGAATATAAAGTTCAAGGAGGCTATAAGAAATACAGAGAAGAAAGGGCTATAAGGTTCAAGGAAATATGGAGAAGAAAAGGCTTATCTTTAATCTATCAATATTCAATGAGCACCTACCATATGCCAAGCACTGTGCCAAGTGCTACACATGCTAATATATATAAAAAATTATTCCTGCCCTTGAGACTTTCACAATTCAGTTGGGAAGTTCGACAAGTAAATTAACCAGAGTACAATGAGAAGTTCAATGTGGTTGAAGCATAAAATATTTTGGGAGTAAACCCGGATATATTAAAAATGGCTTTAATACTAAGGAATCCAGGACCAGATAATAAACTAAGGAATTTTTACTCCATTCTGTGTGTTATGGAGAAGCATTAAAGGCTTCAGTGGAGGTCACTGAAGTGATTCAATTCTGGGGTCAATGCGGATAAAATGATAAATAGGCTAGAATCCAAAGGCAGGGAAACTAATCCAAGGCAGCATTTGTAAAAGTACTGGAAACAGATGACAGAGACATGTACCAGGGCAGTGACCAGAGAGGGAAGGATGGCTGTAAGACACATCGATCCTATCAAACTCAACATGGCCAAAGGAAGGAACTGAAAACTAATGGAGAAATGACTGCATCTTTAGTAAAACAATGGCATGGGGGGGAAAGATGAAGACTATTTATAATTAAGAGAGACAGAACTAAACATAATATGGACAGGAGAATTATAACAAATCATAGCTTTCTGCATCCTATGGAGTATAAAATTAAAACCAAGAAACACTTCTCCAAATTCTAACTGCCCTTATAGTTTATAGCGCCTAGTTTATCACTGGAGAATCATCCTTTATTGCTAGCCTGTCCTAAAACTAGTTGTTAAGTTTTGCCTTTTCAATCATAATACGTAAGGTCCTTAAGAGCACGTCTTGTGCCTTGACTGTACTTCATATATAGTAGATGCTAAATAGGTACTCGAATAGTTTTGGGAAGACAAGACTAAAAACTAGTTCTCAGGACAGAAGAAGGTTAAAGAACTCTGGCCCCAACTCCTTCTTTTAGTCCTATGGCTCCGAAGTACCAAAATCTACTGGAAAACAAATTGTTGAAATTGAACAGGCTATCATTTCCTTTGTAGCTTTCAGGTACAGATCTTTTGACAGACATCAGTTTTAAAAGTCCACCATGATGGGCATTAGCAGTTCTTACTGTTGGATGCATCTAAGGAGCCAAGTTCATCACTTACACTGTGCATACTGAAAAGGAGTTTGCAATGTTACAGGACTCAACTGGTTTTACAAAACCAATTTTTGAAAGTCTAAATGTGGAGACGGACTGTCATCCGAAAATCCTAATTATAAAGGTAAAAGATGCTCTGCCACTTTGTTTCCAATTAATTTCTGTTCATTATTGCTTGAAATAGTTGTTTTTACCTGTGATTTTACAAAGCCTTTTCTCTCCTTTTTTTTTTCCATTCTTCCTCAAATACAAAGTATACTTTATAGTTATCTTCTGCATATCTCGAAGAACCAGATAGACCATTCAAAACTCTCTTTTTTTATTGACATGACATACCTTGCATATTTTATATAAGGAATCTTGTCCATCTCCTCCGGTATCCTTAAAGTAGTCATGGGCTGGAAATGTCCGGTTAATATCTCGGGTGATAGCACTGTCCTGGGGAGACTCCTGCAGAGACACAGGAAAGAGACGGTTTAGCAGTCAATCACGTATGTGTCTGGGTTTATACAAGGTTTTCCCATGCTTTAAAATGGAGCAGGGGATAGGTACACACCTATCATGTGTGATAGATGCATGCCCAGAGTTACTGTCCTCGGGAACTAACTATTCAAGCAAAATCAAAATCAAATATTAAAGGAGAGAAAAAAAAAAAAAGATGGAAGAAAAGCAACTTGTTTCCCTCTATATACCTGATGTGTACCCCATCCCTACTGCCAAGAAAGTAAAGCTGGTGACCTTCCTATTTAAGAGATAAAATGTGTTATTCAAAATAGATTTCCCATAGGAAAATACTCAACCTAGTTTCAAAAGGAGGTAAAACGCTCCCGTGAAAAAAAACTGGGTACAAAAATTGCTGCTTTAATTGATCTTTTGGTATGAAGCCCATGTGCCAGGTTATCAAATGGAAAAGAAAAGCCCCTTCATTGGGCCTTATCCTAGGGGCAAATGGCATAAAAATGCCCATAGCAGTCTACTCAGTATGAAGCTAGTCCACTACATGCCAAAGGACTCAAGCAGGCTGCAAGAAAATATCCCTTGCTTTTGCCAACTGAGAAAAACTCTTTTTGTAATGAGTTAACTAAAACAAATGTCCATAATGTCAACAATCCTTCATAAAACATATCAAGCACCCAGCTAATTTTAATGTCTTCTTGCTAAAATTTATTTGCTCACATGCTAAAAAAAATGGAGCACAGAAACATGAACTTCCATTCTAACAAAGCACTGTCTTCACAGCTAAGACGATAATAGCATTGATTCTCCTTGATGAGACTGGATCACATGCAGGACACCGTACAAGGGCCTGACACTCCTGTTTCAAGATGAAAAATGAAAGTGATAGTCCTCTCTTGTCCAGTAATTTCTCTAGCCTTTGGGTAATTATGTTCCCAGGGTCATTAATACTGTACAGTTGTGGGATCTGAACTAACTTTAAAGCCTATGGTCTTTCTTCACCAGTAAACTATTTAAACCTTCAGAGACAGTGCCTTTGCCTTCACTTAATACGTTATTGACAACAGTTAAGCAGTTCAGAACTGTGGTGACTGCTGACGAAAGGACAAAATCCAAGGTGAGACCCGAGACGGTAGCAGCTACTGCCCGGTGCCAGCTTCCCGGATGCAGCACATGCAGCAGAAACGGAAGCAGAGCTGGGGGTGGGGAGGGTCTCCCCGAGTTGAGGAGAGAGACAGCAGAATTCGAGGAGGGCAAGGGAGCTAGAATTTGTAGGTCAGGATAATGGCCAGGAAAAGCTGAGCAGAGGGAGCTGCAGGGCTACCTAGAGGGGTCCCTATAAGTCATGAAAAATAAAATAATAATAATTATCTGGACTTTTATCAAAATTAAAAAAAATTTTAGTATTCAAAAGTCACTGTTAAAAACATGAAAATGTAAGCCATGACCAAGGCAAAATACCTATAAAATCTAAATGATATCAAAGTTGTATGCAGAATATAACTCTTAAAGTAAATGAGACAAACATTTTTAAAAGGAGGGGATGGTAGAAAAAATTGAATAAATAATCTGCAAAAGAAAATATATAGATGGCAAATCAGCACATGAAAAAATGTCAACATCATTAGTCATCAGGGAAATATAAATTAAAACCACAATGAGATTCCACTATACACCCACTAAATGCTAAAATTAAAAAGATCCAAGTGTTGGCAAAGGGTGTGAATCAGCTGGAACTCCCATACATTGCTGGTGGGAATGCAAAATGGCAAAAATACTTTGAAAACAGTTTGGAAGTTTCTTGCAAAGTTAAGCTTACATTTACCATACAATTCAGTGATTCCAACCTTAGGTATTTATCCGAGAGAAATGAAAATGTGAACATGTGCAAAGACTTGAACTTAAATGTTCACTGCAGCTGTATTCATAGTAACCCAAACTGGAAACAACACAGATGTACTCAAATGGGTAAGGGGAGAAATTGCATCCGCATCGTGGAATAGTACTCAGCAACGGAAAAGGAAAAGCCTATTGATACACGTGATGCGGATGGATCTCAAAAGCATTATACTAAGTGAAAGAAGCCAGACACAAATGATTATTATCTATAATTCCATGTATATAAAATTCTATAAAAGGCAAAAATCACGAGTTATTGAAAGCAGATCAGTGTTTGGAAGAGGCTAGGGTTAAGAGGGAAGGCTGATTCTTAAGAGACATGAGAGAACTTTTTGCAGTGATGGAAATATTATCCATTGCATCTATGGTTAAAATATATTGAATCGTTCACTTAAAATTTGTGCATTTTATCGGACATAAATTATGTATAGAATTTATTTCCAATTACAATGGAAAAACAAAAAGGGATACTCATACAAATAAAAAAGAAACCAGACCTAGGATTCTTCAAGCCCTTTAGATTAAGAGCTCTTGGTTTTTTTAAAAAAAAGAAAAAGAGTAAGAGTTCCCAGTACTACTTTAAGTATATCTACCTAAATGATAAAAATGATGTAAATCCATATTTACCTTAAGGCCTTAGAACCAGGGGCATAGCTTAGAGTAAGAAAGCTGTTTCGGACACTTACTAGTCAAACTTTAAGTAAGTTTCTTACCTTCTCTGGCTGATACCACCACCTTGTAAAGTTGTAGTGAGGGTGACATTAACTGTATGTATAAATTATAAATACCGAGAGAGCTTCTAACGGTGCCCAACATGTATATATAAAACACTTGGTAAAAGTGATAGGAAGCGAAGTCTCCAGCAATGCTGAGAGCTGGGGCTGTCCTGTGAACACACACACACAACCTATACACAGAACAAACTCGCACATATGGTACCTTGAATATATATTATTTTTATTTTTGTGTCTCTTATCTTCCCTCTAAAACTACTCACGCAGGGGTAGGGACTATGATTCAGTTTTGTAACTTCCACAGAGCCCAGCACAATGCAGGGCAAACAGTCAGTGCTTAATAAATATACCTGAGAAGTCTAAACGCTTCTTTAGGATTGAGCGACAGCAATGATCATGTGGTCCACAGCTTCACCCAAACCAGGATCCCTAATGTTAATGTTTAGTTCAAGACCCAAGTGACTAAACCACCAAACTAAATCAGAAAAGAACCTTATTAACCGAATCTTTTAAAGGACATCCCAACTAAATATCTAAAAAAAAAAAAGAAAAAAGAAAAAAAAAACAAAAAACAAGAATGTTGTTAATGATTGATTCATTAATACCTTCCAAATTGTGTAAAATTCAGACAAGAGAAAAGAACTGTCATGAGAAACAGAACAGAATAAAAGACTTTTTTGAGTCTTTTAGCTCGAAATGTAAAATAAATCAAATCATCCTGCAATTATCAAGAGAAATAATAAGAAGAGGGGGTTTTTATATCCTAAATATGTGCTATATAATTATGGGGTATTTTTTTCAATCTAGGGTATATGAATTCTCCTGAACTCAGTTTTAATTTTAACAAACAGAATGTGAAATAGAAACACACAGAGAATCAGAGGTGTATATTTTTTGCTAGGGAATTAAGAAATCTTTATCATTAATAAATATCTGTTTCATGAATAGCTTAACTAACAATGGACTATAAATAGTCCCAACTTCAATTTTGAAACTGCAGCATGATAAAAACTTATCTCACTCCTAACATCATCATGAAAAAAAGATAAACACTGACTTCATTAAAACTAAATTTTTGTTTACAAAACATGCCATTAAAAGATATAGGCAAGCAGTACCTGTATCTAAAAAGGAACTGTATGCACCATATATATAGAACATAAAAGGATGATTAATAAAATGGACAAAAATTGAGGCAGATACTTCCTGAAACAAAGTATATTAGCAAATAAGCAAATGAAAAGGTAGCTACCAGGGCAATGTCAATTAAAACCACGAGACAGGCAACCCAAATGTCTGCCAAGGAGAATGATTTCTCGTGCAATAAGAGAGCCACTACCTGGAACGCTCTGAAGAAGGTAATTAAATCAAATGGAGACTTGAAAAATCAGAATTTTTAATTTCAAAGTACTGAAGGATAATAATCCAAAGCAGCATTAAGCAGTTTCTGAAAGGTTTTGGAACTTAAAAAAAAGGAAGGGTGACTTAAAGCACAAAAACAATGATTCAGATAAATTTCACATTAACAAAACTTTCCAGAAATGATGAACAGACATGTTACTGACCTATTTTGGGAGTGCAGTTACAAGAAATTATTCTGAAAAAATTGTAACTTCTATTCCTGAATTATATCTCCACTTGAACTATCCACTTAAAAAGAGAATTATGATTTTTTTAAATGTCAGATGAATTTACTATATAAAACAACAACGGAAGTTTTCAAACATGCTAAGAATAGTAGACTGTGGCTTAAGACAAGCATGAAAGTTAGAAAATTACATTAAAAATTGAGAGGAATATGGAAAGCTCCAAAATATTTTATGCTAATTACATGTCATATCAGAATGATGATGACGATAACTTGAAAAGGATACACAGTTATTAGATATATATAATTTAGAAATTCAAATGCACATAAGTTAGAAAAATAACAAAACCTAAAAATATTCTGTAACTGATCAGTTCTCATCAATCTGTCATCCCTCATCTATTGATCATGGGAGTCATCAAAGAATTAAGGAGTAAAATGCCCTTGAAAAAAGGTGAATTTGAAAATCACATGCTGAATTTTTGATGCCTTCAAGATTGATAATAAATAGAAGAGCTCCATGTGAACCGCGTGATTAAAATATTTGGTCTTAGGGAACATGTTGAAAAACTTGGGAATAAATCCATTTGACTTGCCAGAAGCCAAGCTGTAAAATATGATTTAGAAATTCTAACAATGACAAATTTAGTAACTTCCTATCAGAATAATGACATCATTAAATTTGAAAAGATTCTAAAAACAAACCACATAACATTATGGATGATTCCGTCCTAAGAGAACATAGCAAAGATCTTTTACAAAACATCCAAACC